TCATATAAGGAGGTTTTTGTTTTATGTAAAACATGCAGGAAAATGCCACATCTGGTTATTGTATAAATAATTCAAGAGTACTTCCTTTTCTACATGCCAGTGTAGTATAATTTTTGAATCAGAGAGTAGCCATCCATTTCAGACACTAGAATGTGACAGAAATGAGGCCTACTTATCTCATTTTTAATATATGCACGGATCCTGAATTTAGTTGATCTATTGATGTTAAATAGAGGACAAAATAATCAGAAACCCTGAGATAGCACATAACTTACCCTCTCAAAACTGATTTGTTCATGGGTCCTGATGACTAGAGTTTGTCTTTTAAAATCATGCTTTCTTTTTATGTATGCTCAGCTTCAGGTTCTTCCTCCTCCAGTTACCCACTCCTTTCTCTTCGTCCTTCTCAGTTGATTGGGATTATTCTTTGGTTATTCTTCTCATGGTTAGACAAATATAGTAATTCTAGGTGTTACCACCAACAAGGACCATATCCACAGGTCAAAAAAAAAAAAAGGGAAGATAAAGAAGTAACTTATTTTTTTTTTCACTTTTTTAGGTGTAAAATAACCACACATTGCACCCACCCCAATTGTCTACCTCTGCAACAAATGTCTTGTCACGTTTATTTGGTCAAAAAGGTCATCATAGCACCCCAAACCTATCATTTCCCGTGGAAATGGGAATGACCTAATTGATTTAGACTTATTTGAATTTACCCTTTTATCAGAGATAGGGACACCTTTGGTGAACTATAGATCCCTGAAGGAAATATGAGGACTATCACCAAGAAAAGGGGCCGAATATTTTGTGTGTAGACACCCAATAATGTGTATTAAAATAGAGGACCCAGCTTATTAAAAATCTCAAATGACAACGAAAGCAAAGCGCAATTGCTGTTGAAGTCGTGCAGATTCTACATGGCATAATCTCAGCTCAAGGAAAGGAGATGTTCCAAAGAGAATACAAGAGAAAACATTCACTGGTCCAAACAAGCAGTCTGCATTGCTGACGGTTAGAGGACAAGATAGGAAAATTTTTGACAGGGAGTTGTATTAGGTAAACAGAAAATGCGTATTCAGAAATACTTCTCACCAGATAACATCAGGAAAGGCTGGATCTTAGGATGGTTTTGGCAACACCTGTGATTTAAACAGAGGACAAGTCAACATAAAGCTATAAATAGTTTCAGAGAGACAAAGAATGTTGATGTTGATATTAAAACCTGGAAGTAAGAAAAGGAGAGCAAGGGAGAAACTTAAATTTTCGACAGTTGATAATGAAAAAGGGAGTAACTTTATAAACGTTATAGCAGAGATGAAGGTCCAGGGGCTGTCAATATGGCGGAGACGCTATTGCGATCTGAGATCTCTAAGGGATCTCTAATACAGAGATCATTATTATCTCTGATCATGAAACGAGAGATTGCAGAACCTGGATTAGGAGCGAGGCCCAAATTTGAGGTTATTGTTTACATGCTCCTAACTGTGAGAAGAAATGACTTATAGAAAAGCAAACAGTATCTAAAAGTCTGGAAGATAGTGCCTGAGATGATGAGAAAAATTGAAAGGTATAGGCTGGAGAAGAGAAGCTCAGAAAAATTGTCAGTCTTAACTAGGCTTTATTAGTTTAGTTGTAAATGATTCATTTGGGAACACTGCGAAAAAAGTGATAAAACTGATGTGAAGGGATATATACACGCGTACACATACACACATTTTTTTTCAAAGTATAATTTCTTTTTAAATCTGTATTTGGCTCCACTGAAGCTCCAAATAAACAAATTTTGGATAACCACTATCCATCTTTTAAAATATAGGAAGTGGGGGCCGGACCAGTGGTGCAGCGGTTAAGTTGGAAGGTTTTGCTTTGGCGGCCCGGGGTTCACCGGTTTGGATCCCGGGTGCGGACATGGCACCGCTTGGCAAGCTATGCTGTGGTAGGCATCCCACATATAAAAAGTAGAGGAAGATGGGCATGGAAGTTAGCTCAGGGCCAGTCTTCCTCAGCCAAAAAAAGGAGTATTGGCAGCAGATGTTAGCTCAGGGCTAGTCTTCCTCAAAAAAAAAAAAAAAAAGGAAGTGTATTAATGCATTATATATTACACAAGAGTTTGTCTTACAGACAGAAATTAACATTCAAAAAAGATACTTGGATAGTCTTTTAACATACTCCAAATATATTATACATTTATAGAACATGATGTCCATCCTCGTAATACAGTATGGTGTAATTGCAAAATTTTTCAACCCCTTAAATAATGCATTTATAAATAGTTGAATCAATGTATTAATAAAATTAAATGCTCATTTTTAGACTTATAATGACATGTGAAGTAAGTTGTTACTTCAGCAAAATTAAAAATTTCCACGTGTTTTGGACACAGAATTTCTATTCTATTTTTAATATTTTATTAGTTAACTTAATATCCTGTTTATAGACTCAGACTAAATTTTCTGGGTATTTTGCACCCAAGACTATTTGTGTTTATCTCCATACATTGAAAAGTGAAAAGGCAGCTTGCTATACAAGAAAAAGAATATGTTTTACACATTTAAAACAAATGAAATTAATATACTAGAGAATATTACAGCTTATTATAATAATTATAATGTAAAAAGAATAATTATAGCTCTTTTACAATAAATAAACTGTGAAAACATGTATATTTCTCTCCTTGTATGAAGGACCATTATAGTAATGGGAATTGAGGATTACATGTAATTTTCTGACATTCAGAGAACATTGGAGACTGAAGGCTTCCAGATGTCAATTATCTTGCGCCACATACTACCACTGCTCTGGCCACAGCTGACCAAATCAGACTGTAGGGCAAGTGTCTACAGGCCAAGCAATGGCCTGGGTGCTGTCACAGAGAACTCTACCTAACAGCCCTTTGCCATTCTGGCCCATGACTTGAATATACTCAGATCTTTCTTGTTGGGAATATGAGGCTATTAGAGAGAATGAAACACAACTGAAAGAAGGAGACTCAAGCTGGCAAATACACGAACAAGAGGCATCGAGCAAAGGCTGTGCCAAAGGAAAAGCCACACAGAAGCAGAGGCAGTGATACAGAGAGAGATTTACGGTATCAGAAGGAACAATCACAGTTAGAAGGGGAGACAAAGATTTCTGAGTCACCATCACAGCATAGGCAGGGTTACTGGAGCAGGGAGCAACGTGTTTTGTCTGCTGAGGAAAAAGGATGGCCAGATCATCCAGCTGGACCACTAGAGATGCTGCTGCACCCTGAGAGCTGCTCTGTGTCCTGAACAACATTCCTGACTTCCTTCAAGTTTCAATGTGAGGCAGTTGGAGTCCTGACCTATTTTTCCTCAATCCTCATAAAAAATCTTTATCAACTGAGACTGCTTTTATTTGGATCTGATCCCTGCAGCCTGAAAGAGCCTATCTAACACGGTCAATATTTAATTGTTCGTGATCCACACACTTCCTCAAGTGACACAGTGAAATTTGTACCTAAGAAAGTGTAAAGATTAAAGTTGTTAAAATATAAATAGCAAAATTCAAGATATGGAGGAATACATTTTTACCAACTTAAGGACTAGTCTCATTTCTAGTTTTGGCCATTATATTTTAAACTGCTTGTGATCAGAGCAAAAAACAGACATCTGATGGGGTAGGAATGTCTATTTAGTTCTTATCATCTCATAAAAGAAACAATATATGCTATTCAAAGAAAAGCATAACTTTTGCTAATAGTAACTTTTCAAGTACAAAGTGACCTTAGACAAGCAGCATTAAATCACAAGTTCCAAGTGATATCTTTAACAGAAAGTTTATAGTAAATCCGGACGTTCTTTATATGACCCCTTCCTACGATCACGTAAGATAAAAGACAAAGAAATAGTACTGAAACCACTTCATCTGTTTTCAATTTGCTCTATATTTTGGTCTCTAATCTTACTGTCTTTGAAAGGTATTTTGGAACACATAGTTTTTTTCCACATTTAAATGTAGAACAACGTTATTCCTCTAGCTTCTCTTCCTAGTTTCAACTGTAACTTTGTGAAGTTTGCTCAACCTCATGACTTAGGCTTTCATTCTTTCGCCTGAACTGGAGTTGTCTACTACAGCACGTTTTCTCCAAGTCAGACATTCCACGCCCCACATTTTGTTAACATATAGATTTGGTTCCCTCAGTAAGGCATTTTCAAAAAGAAATAATGCTTCAAACTGTACAATTTAAGATGTGAAGTATTTCAAAAAATGAAACAGCACAGCTAAAAGGATGATATAAACATAAATCAACGAAGATATTAAGGACAAGGCAAACATCCTGACAGTTCATACAAATTACCCATTACTGATGTCTATCTGGATTTCATCTCTAAAAGTCCACTGTATATTTCTAATGCTGTCACATAAAGATTTCTATTGAAATTTTAAAAATCTCTTTAATCAAATGACAGGCAATAATAATTCTTTGGGTTTTAGTGCAGTCATAAATGATGCCAAAGCCTAAGAAACTGTTTTTCATAATTAGAAGCAAAAAAATCCCCCTTTCTTATTTTAGCTCTATGTGTCCAAACCCTCTGACTATCCAAGTTTAGGTGCTAATATCTGGTGTGGAATGCAATTTTCACGACGTTGATGCACTGGATGTGGGGTGAGATCTAGTTGTGGGGGACCTGAGAATTATTGTCTTCAGGCTGCTGTAAATCCAGCTGGGGAAGTGATTCATGATGTGGTGTTCTAGAAAAATCAATTAAAATTCGGATAGACCATCCTAAAGGCTAGTAAATCTGAAAGAGATGGCAGAGAGGGTAGTCTAGCTACCAAACTTAAAGGATAGTTTGGGGGAAAGCTAAAAGATGGAAAATAGTTTTGGGGAAAGTGAAAACATGGAAAAAGGAAGTGGAGCACAGACTAATAATTATTTTTTAGGATGAGGAGACTAGAGAGAAAGTTGAAAAAATATCCTTGACCTTGGGTAGGAGTAGAGAGCAGTTAAATGCACAGACTTAGAATAAACAACAGAGATGACAGAGGAATCTCTTGATTTTGAAACTTCCATGAGAGTAAGTAGCAACAGGCTCTGAAAACTCACCTAGAAACACAGATTATTGCCGACTTCAGGGCTGGTGATGTCTTAGTTATACCTCCAAATCAGAATGTGCCTAGGTGGTTTGGTAAGCATCAGCCTTTATGGCTAGAGAAAATAAATATAAGTTTAAATAACAGCTTATTTAATTCAACATTATGGGTATTATTGCTTACAAAAGCATATTTAACCTACATAAGATTTTCACAATGAACTATGGGAATAAGCTACAGAAAGCAAAGCTAATTAAAATTCTCTTTGCTTCTGGGAATAAAAAGAAGAAAAAATGAACATGCACTGTGGGGGAGGGGTTGGGGAAGACTAAGACAAGTATGAGAAACACTAGTAAACAAACAAAGTTTCTCCAAACGAACATTCAATCATTCAGTTTCTCCAGCTTGCAATTTCGTTTGTCCTTCTACTGTATTTAAAATGGACTGATCAAAGGTGCCACAGTAAGATACAATACAGTTTGTGTATATGCATCACATGATTACTCATCAGTAATGTTGTTTTACTGGTTGTCATATTTTTGAAGCAGGGAAAAACAAGTCAGCATGAAAACAACAGCAAAATGATTTGCATTTCAAGGCAAAGTTTTAGAAAGTTTAAATTATACTCAGGTTCTCCCTCTTTCATACTTTAAAATCACCCATATTACAAATGAGGATGAACCAAGAAAATGTGTATTGGTAATCTAATGATATTAGGTTAAAGAAAAAGAAAAACGTACTAAAAAGTATATTAGGTGAAAGAATAAATTATGTATTTTTTCTTTTTTCTAGCTTTATTGAGGTATAATTTACAGTGAAAAATTCTACATATTTAAGGTATGAAATGTGATGTTTTGATGTATGTATACATTGTGAAATGATTACCATGATCAGGAAGAATTATTTATCCATTAGGATCAAATAGAGCAGCATGATTTTTTGTAAGTAACCTTGAACCCTCAGATAATAAAATTGCATTGTGTGTAATACATTCATAAACGTAATTGGTGGATGTGTCTTTATTTCGAAAGACTGATTATACACTTTTGTGTCATCATCAATCAATGTCTGAAGATGGCTTAGTGTGTGCTTCTTTCACTAAATCCTTATTAAGACAGGGAAAATTAAACGCAAGTCCCTCCCCCACTGAAGGTAACAACATTATATTATCAGGGCAAAGAGCAAAAATGTACCGTATTTCGTTCATTCTGACTTCTGATGATGAATAATCTGTTCTCTTTTTCACTTACGAATACACACTTGTATCACAGCAATATAAAAACCCACTTTCAAGTTATTAATGTTTGGTAAAACAATGTTTAATATATTACAACCTACATTTATAGGAACACTGTCTTTATGCAAATCCCACAGATAATACCTTTTTAATGAAAAGGACAAAGTTTGTAATGTATGCTCTCAATGGCAATTTAATCTAAATTTTATATGTCAAGACAATAAATTGGGCCATGCTATCTGTAAAGAAAGGAAGAGATCTAAGAACTATGGTGAAGTTTATAAAACTTTTAAATTCTCTTTCTGATAGCCTTCTCTCTGACTCATTTCAAAATTATTATCACAAAAGAATTTTTGGCTTGTAATTTTTTAAAAATAGACTTTTCAAAACAACTTCTATTTGACCAATCATTCTGCATAAAAATCTAGCTTATTTTCTTCTCCAGTGTTCTGGAACAGGAACAATTTCGTTGAAACAAACTTTTATTTGAACTCCATGATGACAATTTGTTGACTCTCTGATATCAAAAATATTATGTGATACATAAGGTGTTGAAAAATTAATATGGTATAGAATCTGTGAATTTCATGAGGTAAATTCTCAACTATTGCAGTTCACACACTTTTCCTAAGGAAGTTTTACATTTGTGTAATAATTATAATAGATTATGCACAAAAATTAATTTTCTTTTATGTCATAGGATTTACATACATGTATAAATATTATACATTTGTATTCTTAATATTTCTACGAGGGGCAAGATGAGTCAAGAAGTCTGTATAAAATCAAAATACCTAAAGTAAATGTTCTTCCAGTAAATATGCATTGGATACCTAAGGTGTGCAGCAATCTCAGATAGCTTCTCTGTTCAAAGTTTTGCTCAGTCTCACTCTAGACTTACCTTATGGAGGCAAAAATGCAACCTCAAATGCTTAGAGTGTCAGTCACGTGCTCATGTGCCAAGATGATCGCCAGGCATTCGAGTGTTGAGTGCAAGTCAAATTAGAATCGGTTTCTTAGGCCAGTCATCGATTTTTGAAATAGAACACCTGAGGAGAGCCAAGACAAGAAATAAAACTCATGTTTTTGACGGCTCCTATTTTTCATACTATTCCAACATTGGAATATGGCTTTTAATGCATTCGTATAGTAAGCATTTGTTTATTCACCTTACCACTTTTCCCAGAACTAATTAGTTTTTCAGTTTTGAGACACTGGCCCTGAATCACACAAGGACTTAATCCCAACGTGAGGAAGATATTCCCTACATTAACTTTGTTTTACTGGAGCTTCTTTGTTTTTGTTAATCAAATTTTTCCTTATAATCTTTTGGGAAACAAAGCAAAGGATATTAAAGCTGGGGGAATTAGCTTATCGGTGTTTTCTCTGCCCTCACTCTTAATTGATAATTTATATAAATTAATTAATAACTCATCTTAATTGATAATTTAGATTTCTGGATTAAATATCATATTTCTTCATAATTTTGAGGGAAAAGATCCATTTTTTTCCTAATTTCCCAAGTGGCTGTTTAAAAAGCATTACTATTTCAGATTCTTTGTACATTATTCGCCTTTATCCCCCTGCCCAAGACTTCATGAATTCTTTTTCCTTACTTCAAGTGACCTGAAATTTCACATTAATATAGTGAGCATTTCTTTCAGTTTGGGGAAATATTTTGCTCCCCTCCTTCATCTCTGTTCTTTCTGAAATTAATATTATTTAAATTTTATACTTTTTAAAGTATAATTTAAAATCATCTCCCTTTTTATGTGCCCTTTCTTTGTCTTGATTCTGCTCCCATGAGTATTTCTTCAACTTCAGCTTAATTTGGCTTTAACTCTTTGCCTGGATTCTATTCTCTACAAGTTCCCTTTTTAGGCTTGTTTGTTTTCAGGTTCATTTTTTTTATGTTGGAGGCATTCCTCAACTATTTGGTGATCATTGGCTATATGTTTCTGTGTAGGAGTAAGACATCAAATGGCAAAAGAAAGCTCTATATGTCTTTGCAGGGTTGGTGATTGGTGAGTTTCTTTAAAGGATTATTGGGCAAGTGCACTGATATTTCTTTGCAGAGTCTGCAAATGTTCCTGTGTGTAGATAATCTTTTGGCATAGTCGGTCCTCCACAGATTAATATTCTAATTACCAATCTAGACGGTATAGTCCTGGCTGTTGGTGTCCTGGGGGCCTAGCAAAGTAGGGAGATAACGGTCCTCATGTTGAATGTATTCGCTTTCAATAAGTTTACTTACCACTGCCCTCAATTGGACCAATGTCCAGAATCTGTTTGTTTTCCAGCTCCCAAAGAATAAACCTCTGGTGCTAGAATAAAAGGGGATAAGGGCTAGTGGCCTGATGTAAGATGTGGGCAAAGAAATTTCTGGGTCTTTTTAAAGGTTTAGCACCAGTTATTCAGAGTTAGCTACACTGTGTTCAAGCATGAGTTACCAGTGTCTCCAGTTACCGAGTCTTTGTGAGGGGGAGTTCTAAAGAGAGCATGATTTGCCTCTTATCTTCTTCCTTTACTCTAGGTTTAGATTTCAACTTTATGTTAATTTCACTAGCCCGTAACCTACCAGTTTATAAAAAACAAAAATGTTTTTATTTGTTTACTATTGGATGGAGCAAAGACAAACATTTGTGGCCATTGTGCCATGTTTTGCATGCCTTGTTGTATTTGTTAATTTGCATATTTTGAGATAAGTTTTAAGGTATGTAAACCTCAAATGTTACCTCCGAAACCACTTCTTGGTCTCGTGCCATATTTTTAAAACTTTGTTTTGCACAGGTCTCTGGAATTGACTTGTTTTTGTTTTCAATATGTCAATTATCTTATTCCCTAGGCTAATAGGTCACATATGCCTGAATATTATTTTATTCTTTCAATAAATTTGATTTTCTCTACATATAAAAAATGCAATATATATATATATCTCCTTGAAAACTTTCCATGTGATTAAATTCAAAACCCAGAACTAAATCCCTTAGAGATTATGTCAATAATTTCATCTTGGAGGACTTAGAAAATGTGCTCATCTAATTTTAACTCCTTCCCCAGGCCTTCTGTGGAGCTATACAACATTTCACTGAATCCTTACTTTAAACAGTTGGAAGTGAACTGAATCTTTGAAAAGGTCTCACCTCATTCTCGAGTTTCTACTGCAATAGCCAAACCAAATATGTCTAAACACAGCGATGTTAACAAAGTCAGTATGTTTCATGGAAGTCAATTTTATATTCAGACAGCTCTCGCTTCTGCAATACGTGATTATTTATTAAAGGATGGAATCACTCAAGTCTGGAGGCAGTGAAATCAATACGATTGTTATTATTGTATTGTCTAGTAAAAATTGATAGGCTCTAGAAACAGGGATCGGCAAACTATATGCTGTGGATCAAATCTTGATGGCCTCCTGTTTTTGTAAATAAAGTTTTATTGGAATACGCCAATGCCCACTTATTTTGTTATTTGCATCATAAGTTTTTTATGATATTATAATAATTATCAAATTAAAATTGCCAGGGAATGCTAAAAGTAATTCAGTTTGTCTAGCTCTTGTATTGATTAGTAGGACGTGCTAACTGAAAGGTGTTCCAGATAAATTGAAGCAAGCAAGTAATCCAAAGCCAGTGTGAGTTAAGGTGATTTTCGAAAGACAGGTTTGTGGTAAAAAGAAAAAAGAAGGATGACATGGACATAGCAGCTGTCATAGAGAGAGCATTTTGTGGAAAGAGTAAAGATGATTAAACGGAAATTTAAAATGTTTGCTGCACTATGTGTGATGTAATCTCACTACCTGAATTCATCTACTATGCTATGTAATACTTTAAAGATGGATGCTTTCTTGTAAATTCATATATTTTAATGTTACAGACTATCTTACCAAACAAGATGAGCAAACAGATAATGATTTCATTGCAGTACTATTTCAAGCATTATGGGAGAGTGAGTGGACCAAGCCTGGATACTCAGCTCTGTTGAAACAAAGGGAGGAGGAGTTTAAGAGCTGGGGTGGTGGGATTATAGACCATATGTGTTTGCTCACTGGCTTTACCCAAAGGAAAAGTAAGCTTTCTCCTGTCTTCATAACAGGAGATGGTTTTACATCTCAGGGCATGGTGCCCAGGGAAGTTAGGCTCCTACTTTTCCCACAGACACTGGGAGATGAGGAGCTATCTTCTCTGATGATTACCTTTCAAAGATATGTGTCCCAGGTCCTTGAGAAAGATTGCCGCAGATTGAAAAGCTGGCAATAGGCTTTTTAAAAGATTTACATCTCAAAGAGATAGAAAAGGAATTTACAATTACAAATTTTCTAAAGTAAATGCTCTAAGAAAATGGAGGTCTGGTACCTAGAATCAAGAAGCCTGTCCAATTTCATTCCTTTGCATGTAGATATCCAGTTTCCCTGATACCATTTGTTGAAGACAATGTCCTTTCCTCACTGTATATTCTTGGCACTTTTGTCAAAGATCAGGTGACCATATATGCATGGACTTATTTCTGGCTTTCTGTTCTGTTCCATTGGTCTATATGTCTGCCTTTGTGCCAGTACCACACTGTTTTGATTACTGTAGTTTTCTAATATATTTTGAAATCAGGAAGTGTGATGACAGCAGCTTTGTTCTTTCTCAAAATTTATTTGGCTATTCGAAGTCTTCTGTGGTCCTATAAGAATTTTAGAATTGTTTTTTCTATTTCTATAAAAAAACGCCATTGGGATTTTGATAGAGATTATGTTGAATTGCCAATGACTTTAGGTAGTATGAACATTTGAACAATATTGTCTTCCATCCATGAACACAGGATATCTTTCCATTTGTGTCTTATTTTTTCATCGACGTTTTGTAGTTTTCAGTATACAAGTCTTTCAGCTCCTTAGTTGAGTTCACTCCTAAGTATTTTATTCTTTCTGGTGCTATTGTAAACAAGATTGTTTTTCTAATTTTCTTTTCATATTATTTGTTGTTAGGGTACAGAAACACAACTGATTTTTCTAGGTTGATTTTGTATCCTGCAACTTTATTGAGATTGTTTATTAGTTCTAACAGGGTTTTTTTTTTAATGGAATCTTTAAGGTTTTGTATTTATAGGATCATGTCATATGCCATTCGGGCAATATTACTTCTTCCTTTTCTATTTGGCTGCCTTTTATCTTATACCATATGCAAAAATCTAGTCAGTGGATTAAAGACTTAAAAATAAGACCCAAAACTGTAAAATTCCTAGAAGAAAACATAAAGGAAAAGCTTCATGATATTGACTTTGACAATGACTTCATAGCTGTGACACCAAAAGAACAGACAATAAAAGCAAAAGTAAACAAGTGGGGCTACATCAAGTTAAAAACCTTCTTCGTAACAAAGGAAACAATCAACAGAATGAAAAGGCCACAAACTTAATGGGAGAAAATTTTTGCAAATCATATCTGATAAGGGGTTAGTGTCAATAATATATAAAGAACTCCTACAACTCAATAGCAAAAAAACCTAATATCCTGATCAAAAACTGGGCTAAGGGCTTGAATAGACATTTTGCTGAAGAAGTCATACAAATGGCCAACAGGTATATTAAAAACTGCTGAACATCGCTAATCATCAGGGAAATGCCAATCAAAACCACAATGAGATATCATCTCATACTTGTCAGGATGTCTATTATGCAAAATACAAAAGACAACAGGTGTTGGTAAGGATGTAGAGAAATTGGAACTCTTGCACACAGTTGGTGAGAATGCAAGATAGATAGTGCGACTACTGTGGAAAAGAGGATGGAGTTTCCCCCAAAACAAAAATAGAACTATCATATGATCCAGCAATCTCCCTTCTGGGCATTTATTCAAAAGAATTAAAATCAAGATCTTGGAGGGATATTAACACTACAATGTTCCTTGCAGCACTATTCACAATAGCCAAGATGTTGAAATAAACTAAATGTTCATTAACAGGTGAACAGATGCATGGATAAAGAAAATGTGGTATGTACATACAGTAGCATATTATTCAGTCTTAAAAATGAAGATCTCGTAATATGTGACAATAGAATTGAAACTTGAGGAAATTATGATGAGCAAAATAAGCCAATCACAGAAAGAGAAATAGTGCATGATTCCAATTATATGAGATATCTAAAATAGTCAAATTTATAGAATCAAAGATTGGAATTGTGGTTGCCAGGGATGCAGGGAGCAAAAACTGAGGACTTACTAACCAACAAGCATAAAGTTTTGGTCAAGCAAGATGAGTAAGCTCCAGAGGTCTGCTGTACAACATCAAATACATACTCAGCAATAATGGATTGCACACTTAAAACTTTAAGAAGGTAGGTCTCATGTTAAGTGTTCTTTTCACAATGAAATAAAATTTTTTAAAAAAGAAGCAGCCCTGTCTGAAGTTTGGTCATACAGAAGGGAACATTATAGCCTTCTTGATCAGGGGCTTCACAGGAATCTAGGCTAAGATCTATGACTGATAAGTTGGTAAGGCACATGTTATAAGTACAAACTTCCATGAAGCACTGCATAGCTTTTGGCAAAAGAGGTCTTCATCAGGAGAAAAATAATGCAGGTCTACTTTTTAAAACTGTAGTCAGGGAGCCAGAGAGATTCTGAGTACTGCGTGGTGTTGCTCGATTGAATCAGCTTTCTACTCAATTACGCTGGCCTTGTGTCTGAGTGGAAGTAAAGCTGTAAGAACTGCTTCACGATTCCCTGTAAAACGCCAGGCTCTAAACAGCACTCTGGCTTGGTAGACCCTCGTCTGAACACCGGTCTAAGCCCGGGGCGTCAGAAGCAGTTGAGGGCAGAAAGCCTTTAATACTTTAATGAGTATTCAGCAGCAGATGAGTACAGCAGAAGCACTCCATGGCGTCTATGACGCACAGAGAACAGGAGAATGGAGTCCACTAAAGATGGTAAAAGTACTAACATCCATCACCATTGACAGACGAGTGAGTCCATGCAGAAAAACAGGATAGAATAATTAATGAGTCATGCTACTTGGGTGCAGACACAAGTCCCAATACTTCTAGGATCTGTGGCTCTTGGACAGTGAAATGATTTATCTTGCTTATGGTTTCTTTTTCTGTGAAATGTGGATGCTAGAGCCTTGGTGATAGTCTCTTGTGAGAATTAATTTATAGTAAACATATTTAGTGCCTACTCTGGCCACATCATTCAAAAACTCATTTAATCCATACAAACACCTCGAGAGATGGTTTATATATTAACCCCATTTTATACATGAGAAAACAGAGACCTATAGAAGTTAAGTAATGCAGAGAAGACGCATGGAGAACAAGTCTGGTTCTAGGGCTGTGCTGTCCAATATGTGCATAGTACTACATGTGGCTATATAAATTTAAATTAATAAAAATTAAACAAAATTAAATATTCAATTCCTTAGTCAACCTACTCACATTTCAAGTGCTCCACAGCACATGTGGATAGTGACTACTGTAGTGGGCAATGTAGATAGAACATTTCTATCTTCTCAGAAAGTTTCGGTGGACAGCACTGCTAAAGCCTATAACCTTTGCAAAACAGTCTCTCTCCGCAATAAAAACAGCCAAGTGTCCAACACATAGAAGCTGTTCAATAAAAGTCTGTTTCTTCAGGAAAAAATGAGTCTATTATCATTGAAATTCTTCCAAAAAAGTTATAGACTTCCTCAGCCCCCATGATTTTATTGGGGAAGGAAATCCAAGTTTCTGTAAAATCAAGTTCATGAAACTTTCCTAAGAATACAAAACTTAAGCAATTTATTTACTTGTATGAGAGTCAACAGCTAATAAGAAACAGTCACTTCTGATCCAGTCCTCTTTACTCTGGCTGCTGGAATCAAATGAACTTTTGTTAAGTATTTCATTCAAGGGTACTGTAATTTCATCAAGCAACATCTGCCAAACATTGCTGTCTCTACTATTATTACAACATGTAGAAAATGAAATTCCTACTATCTGTCTCATCTTATTTAATTTTTGGATTTCAGGAAATTGTGTTGGTTCAGCTATTTGCTATCAGAGCTAAATATAAGTTTGCTTGAAAATTGAATAAGAGAATAGTTTTTTTTCAAGTATGGGATTCTGACCCATAAGAGCCAAATGAGAAATATTTTAGGTCAAATTCTAGTGCAGAGCTAAAGTCTGTCTCTCTGGGTTTAGCAATTTCTTAGCAAAGGCAATACATTCAAATTTTCAATACACTGAGATAATTTTCGCCTATATCTACATTTTTTATTGTTCCCCAAATTTCTGACTGCTATTGCCTTAATTTCGTAAACTGGAATAATTTCCTACAATATCATTTATGACCTTAAATTTGGATAGTCAATAAAACTGTTAGTACATTAAATAATTTTAATATAATTGAGATGAGTTAAGCAAATAACTTTGCTTACTGTCTAATCGTGTTTCTAAGAAGTCATACTTAATTTGCTTCTACAAAAGAGAATAAAGATATTATTATTAACTCTCCCTTTTTGCAATAAATCAGACAGAGGATTTATATAAAAAGAAATTACAAATGTGAATGTAAATCGCCAAGCTTACACCAAGCAATCAAATCATTCATTTTGGATCAGCGATATAAACTGTGGCATCATCAATTCCAAAATTACCTGTTGTTGAGTGGTTGCAAGGCATTGTGCAAAGTGTCAATGCATAGGACTCTGCAAAGAAATTAATTTAGATGGGGTAAAATTAGTTGCAAAATAAATATTAAAACATTCTGTTATATCAGCAATTTTTAATTTCCATAAAATCCTAAAGAAATTACCAACATAATGTCTACATCTGTGGTGCCCTATATAAAAAAAAAAAAGTTGGAAGCCATCACTTGCCCCTTTTGAATGTGAGTGATGTTTTTACCTATTGCAAGTTATTAAAAAAAAAAACAACAATAAGAAATGCAACACAGGTTCCTTCTTATACTTTGCCTTTGTGCTTTCACTGTGTCAAACAAAGTCTGATAAAAAACAGTCTCAAATGTGATGGGCCTCATTCCAGTGGTTCAAATATCTCCAAGCTTCCTCTCCCTATCAATTAATTATGGAAGAAAATGAACTTAATAATAACTTATTAAAGAATAGATACAAAGTTAAATTTCTTGCAAAATCAGAATATATTACTCTCCAATGCCAAAAATAGAGCTATGTTGCACAACTGTTAAGTAGTGCTGATTACCTAGATCAGATTTTACATAAGCATCAAATTTTCTCTGTATGAGAATGTATATTTGTCATCTTTTTGCAGATTTTCTTTAAGATCTATATAAAAAGGGGAAAGCAAACACGCATTTGCACAGAAATATTTAATTTCCTGCTTGAATAGGCTCAAATGGGAATATGAAGGCAGTAACGACGCTTTAGTCAACAGTTTTAATATCTTGAACTAGATAAAAGAAATCATAGGAGCCTATTGGTAAAAGTTTCCCTTTCTTCAGTCTGAAAAATCTGAAAGTAAGAATTTTATTACTGAAAGGAATCTTTGAGATTCCATAACCCATCCATCTCCTTTTACAAATAAAAATATTGAGACCAGAATGCTTAAATTATTTTAAGATTGTAAATGCCTGTTATTTTCAATCATTCCTATTTAGAAGAGGGTAAACACCTGCAGATGCATACATCCCCAAAGTTGGGGTGTCCAGGAAAATAGAGGGTACATACAGAAGTGATTTGATGCTCTAAGTGGATAATTCCCTAAGAAAGCTCTTATTACATTTTTTTGGGGGAAAGTAACTATCATTTCTTAACTGGATGTTGGCAACAACCATCATTCTCATCCACAGTATCATTTGGACAGAGTCTTGAAGATATTTTTTCCCAAGTGCAACCATTCTAACAAAACATAGCATATTTTTGGGTCAAAGAAGTATGTGCGCTCTCTCAAGGTTCATACTAGTATGAATTTCCTAATTAGATATAATTTTCTTTTCTCCTTTCCTACTACTTTTTTAAGATAAGTCTTGTTCGATTTCAGGGAAAAGACAGCATTTTAAGACACATGCATGCATTAATAATTTCAATCAATTGTTTATACATTCATTTATTCATCTTCTGACAAATGTTTTTTAAATACTTTTAATATATTCAATAATTTCTGGGATCTTTGAAAACAAACAGGAAGAAATAAGATTTTTCTTAAATATTTCACAGTAAGGGATGGGAAGAAATAATCAGTTCTGCCAAAACACTGGGTAAAAGACAAAATAAATGTAGTTTTTATACCTTTCTGTTTAAAGAACGTGAACCATGGAAATTATGCAGACTTTTCAATGGGGCGTTGAAAAAAGGCCCACTTATATTGAAAGAGATTGTCTAGAGTGGGCCCTGAGAATCATGGGACATTGAAAGCATTACTTATTAGGGGCCATAGCACAAGGGAGGAATGGACTATAAGTAAGCTCTACTTGAGCTGAGCCCCCGAAAGACTGAGAACATTAAAAACAGAGGAGGAGGAATGGCCAATAATAACAGTGGACCTTTGGAGACCATTAATGGCAGTTCTTTCCGTGTTATTCTTCGGCCTTTTGCTTAACTAAAAGTTTACAGGAGAAGTTATAAATTCTCCCTGGATGCAAATGCATAGAATATTATTCAAATAGTGTTTTCTTCCAATATAATAAGCATATCATTTTAACTGGTAGTTTTATCTGGACAAAATGATTTGTTTCTCTTTAAAATAGCATCATTTTGGGCTTGCCCCATGGCCGAGTGGTTAAAGTTCAGTGCACTCTGCTTCGATGGCCTGGGTTCTTGGGTTCAGATCCTGGGCGTGAATCTACTCTGCTCATCAGCCATGCTGTAGAGGCATCCCACATACAAGATATGGAGGAGAACTGGCACAGGTGTTAGCTCCGGGTTAATCTTCCTTAAGCAAAACAAAAAAAGGGAAGATTGGCAATGGATGTTAGCTCAGGGTGAATCTTCCTCACCAAAAAAAAAGAGAGAGAAAGAAAAAACTCATCATTTTTATGAAGAGAGGTTCAAGTACATGAAGAACATATCATCACACAAAATTGATGAGTAATCTTTCTATTTCTCTTCTCTGAAGTCAATGGACATTTTTGTCCCTAGATTTTTGAACATTGCATAAATCACTAAATGAAGTTTAAAAGATGTTTTCTTTTTAGTACCATTTCAAAAAGTTTCTGTTTTACTCAGGAAAAAGATTAAAATAGGTAAAGTTAATGATTTGTCTATCATGCCAAACATATACACTCAAAATTTATGGAAAAATTAATTTGAGCATAACATTTAAGTTTCAGACCAACTTATTATTTTGAATGTGAGAGAGTTATAAAATAGTTAAATGGCTTATGTCTAATTTGTTAATAAGATTATCTATGGAAATTTAGTATTTTACTCAATTTGCTTTCTTTTTTCATTTTTTTAAAGAACTTTGATACAAAAATCCCAATACTTAGTCCTTTTAACCATGCTCATTTTTCCAAGTAAAAAAAGCAATAATGTGTACTGAGGGCAAGACTTACAAAGAACAAAAACGTAGAAAGACAATAAATACTCTATAAAATTTTACCACAGATGGAGGACATTGTTGTCTCCAACATTTTGGTATATTTCTCTGCAGAGATAGGTCCAAAAAGGGTTAAGCCAATCGTAATTTTTAACTATTTCCTCTTTACTTAAGAATATATTATAGGGTTTTCCTATTTCATTAAGTGTTCTTGGTAATCCTGATTTGTTCAAACATTTTTTTTAAAATATAAGGACTTGAAAACCTATATAAAAAGCAGAGATTAATTTATTGAAACTAATGTGCTCATTACTCACTGTCTGCAGTTACCAAATACATGACCAGTCTTATTTCCTCTATATTCCTACCCACTCACCTGTCATAATTATTTTGAAGTTCATTCCAGACCTCATATCATTAGATCTTAATTTTTGATGGCTGTGAAATAATATATTTCTTTTGTTTACCACAATGCTTTTATCATCCTTCTCTTGTTGGATATCTTAGGCAATGTCAATAGCTATTACATTCAGGTATTACTATTTTTAGATCCTTTTTGAATTTAAGAGATGGAAAGGCTGAAATCTCTAGAGAAAAGATCTTATGTGTTGGAGTGAGATGACCATCAATTTGAATATTAAATAATAAGAGTGTGGCATTGAGAAGAGCATTGCTGTAAGCTCCAGTTCCTCATCAATGAAATAGGAATTAAAATACTACACTTATCAAATACAATTGTAATAAATATGATACAAACATAGTTCCTGGCTCAAACAGTTGACTTTCCCTATGGAATAATTTCATCTTAAACTGTCTGACTATATTCCTGAAGGAAAGCAGTGACTCTGGTAAGAAAACCTTTACTACTCAGGTTTGAAAAAGATAAAATAACTTCTTTTAAATATAATATATCTCTGACTTTACAATGTTATACAATGAATAAGCAGAAATAAATTTATCTTTATTCAAACACTTTTTCATGTTTTTGGTATTCAAACTTAGCCTTACAGGTAAATTACTCCATGTGATGCATTATAGAATATTAAACATAGAAGTCCTTTGTATTCAAGTTCATGCATTATACTCAATAGAACATTTTAGTAATTTATATTTTTATTTGATGCTATTGAAGAATAACTCTAAAATAGAACATATTGCTCTAAATTATTTTGAGTTTCAGTCTATTACCAGAATTCATAAATTCAAGAAAAAGAGTACTCTATAGTTAATTCAGTAAAATCATTTTACGACACATGAAATAGTCATTTGGAAATTTTACAAATTGTAAAATAGACTTTTATCTATGGAAACAATCTCCAATATGATAAAATTGGTACTTTGGCTTAAGTCTACTTTGTCATAAATGTAAATGTGCCAATGATTTTTTTCTGAGCAATAATAAAATTAAATTTTAGTAAATTGACTTGAAGTCTTGAAGTTATACTTTTAAGCAGCAAAGAGTAATATCACTGAATATAATTTGCCAAATTATCTTTTTGTCCATTGTAGAATGTGCTGTTGTAATGGCTTGTAAGTAATTTGAAATACTTATATTATAGAGAAAATGACTAAAATACATTTAGAAATGGTGAATATATCAATATTCACCTATTGGCTATAGACTAGAATGCTGGTTCAGCCCAGACTAATAGCATGCCTGTAAATAAATCATTTATACTGTCTCACCGTCATTTATCTATTAAAGAACTGAGACATTTAAATGCTGTTTTAAATCCTTCCAAGTATCAAGATAGAAAGTTTTGGACATTTCTTCTTCATATGTGAACTTCTTCTGTTACAGGTTTTTCATGAAATATACATCTTATAAAACCTCAGTAGAGGTGATTTTTTTGAAGTCTCAGGAAAGATTAAAGGTGAATGGCTCAGACCGTTCCTACTGAGATTGTATGGATAGTTAAACTAAGGTCAATGTATGATCCAAGCTTAAGTCTACAAAAATAACCCCCAAACATCTAACCTTCGCTTTCTTAGACAGCATCCCTGACTTGCAGCAGACACCTCATGGGATGAATAAGAAAACATCCTTGACTCACTGTCTTAACCTATACTGGGAATTCAAGAGGGTGCAATGGGAATAGTTTGATAGAAAGTAGAATCATCTGTGTCCCCAGTGGTCATCTGTAGTAAGAACAGGGTTTGGTGTACCTTCTTTTACTGGGTGTATCTCTGT